CCCCCCCTCCGCGGCCGCCCGGTCCCCGCCCCGGCCAACTCCGCTGCTGCCCGCAGGCCCCACCCATCGGTCCCCGTCTCCTGGGCAGCCCACTTCCTAACCCACACTGCTGGCTTTGCGCTGCCTCGGGCTCCAGCCTGCCTGCTTTTACCGTTTCCTCAGCTCCTCATCCCCAGGTCCAGATTGCTTCCTTTCCTTCCCCAGATCTCTTGAACCCCTGTTGTGGTCCCCCAAAGCTGTCCACTCTTCCACCTGTTCCAGCAACTCAGGCTCCCCACTCCCTTGTCACTCGGGATTATAACACCCGGCTTGGGACCTCCTTTCCTTCTGTGTCCCCCCACCTTGGGTCACCTGGTTTACTCTGTGAAGCAGGCATACTTATTTCGAGTACAGGAACAAAGGCCCAAGTCCTTTCTGTGCTTATTTCTTGGGTGACTGAGCCTAGATCCTAGCATCTGATAGATACGTTTTGCCAGAGTGCTTCGTGCGGTAGAGTGCCCGTCGGCAGGACAAGGGTAGTACAGTTTGGCTGCTGTGAATCCTGAAACGTGTTTCCCGATAACAGACCTCTCCCCACGCCCCCACCCCAGCGTCTGTCTCGTCTAGGTATTGTCCCGCACCTCCAAGCGCCCTCAGATGTCTCGCCACCTGCTTGTCCAGGTTGTGATAAAATCCAGCGGTGCTGTGTGTGGCACACCTGGCACAGCGCCTGGCCCATCCCCGCCTCTTAAGTCAGACCTGGCACCCAGCTCTTTCGGCCCTTCAGCCAGTTCATTCTTCTGCTCCCTGTAGACCTCTGAGTTTGGCCAATACCTGCTTCTGCCTTTTTTGACCCTCCCCACCCTACCACATCCCAGACTTTTTCTTTTCCCCGTTGCTCTCACCTGATGCATCCAGTTGGTGAGGTAAAACCTAGAAACTGTCTTGTCTGTGTTCCTCACCACCTGTCATCTTCCGTGCTTTCCTAAAGAGTCTCCCTGTCCCCAGCCTGCAGAGGTCTCTGCCTTAGTCTCCAGAGCAGCAGGACACCAGCAGAGGCTCCTTGCTCCCCGAGGGCCCCCTTACATCGAGGGTCCAGTGTGCGGTGTATGGAGCTGGCTTTTTAGCCAGGCTCATTGTGCGCTCGAGGTTACTGAAGCACTCACTTCTTGTGCCCCGTGCGGCGTAGTGCCTGGGAACCTGGGGTGGGAGGTGAGTGGGTTGTCATCGCGAGGAAGTGAGAATACACGGGCCGTGGCTCCTCCAGGGTGCTGTCTGTTGGGATCCCTGATTTGCCCCCTCCCGACCTCCCCCGGAGGAGACAATGCTGCATTGATGATAGTTTGCTCTCTGCCTGCCTGACAGGCACTTAGCTGAGATTTCTCAGCCAACCGGGCAGTGCAGATGCTGTGGTACCAAGCACGGCTCTCTCGAATGCTGGCCTCATTGAGGGACCCCAGCTGTCCTGCGCAGGGGGTTCCTTCTCCCTCACTCCTCCTGCCCCCTCTTGGTGTTGTGCAGGGATATCATGTCCATCTACAAGGAGCCGCCTCCCGGGATGTTCGTCGTCCCTGATACCGTGGACATGACTAAGGTATGGAACTCGATGGTGTTGAGGGTGGCTGGGAGATTGGGTCCCAGTGGTTGGAAGAGCCTAAAAGCAGTGATTCAGCTCACCTCTGCTTATGTAGATGAAGAAATCAAGACCCCAACAGAGTAAGTGGTGCACCAAAAATGACACAGGTGAAATCACAGCCTGGGACGGCTGCATGTTATTAGGGTGCACAGGGCGCTCTTGGCTCACCCCAAGACTGCGCCCCTAACCCTTCACAGAGAGGAAGCGCAGCATTTAATGTCAGGTTTGTTGAGGGTGCTGCTCTCCGGAGTGAATGTGCAGTGTTAAACTGATGTTGGGAAGAAATCTTGTTTTCCAACGCTACTAGTGTTGTTTTAAGTGAGAACTCAGTTTCAGATTTCTTGAACATTCAACTCTTGTACCATTGGCATGTACTTTGTTGTTTCGAAAGGTCTTCCTTTTGCATTCATTTATTTATTGTTTTGCTTATTTGTGAGGATGGAAATGTTTTCCCTGCACCTCCTGTCCGCATCAAATCCTAGTGTTGCGTGCTAGTTCTGAGTCCCAGTGCTGGTGCTGTGTTGACTGGGGCCAGTGGAATTTGCTCTTCCCAGTGAATGATCAGGGGCTGGAAGAAAGCTGGTTGCTTGCTGGGCACAGTTGGAGCTATGGACTGAGGAGCAGGATTGCAAGTCCCCTTTTCCTCTTACTGTTCAAATTCTGAGCAGACCTAAGGGCTCTGGAGCCTTTGAACACAAAATATACCGGAGTCACCCCAGGTTTTCACCCTTCAAGAAGGGAAAACATGCTGGGTGTGGTGGCGCACACCTGTAATCCCAGCACTCGGGAGGCTGAGGCAGGAGGATGGCCACTAGTTTGAGGCCAGCCTGGGCTACATAGTGGGACCCTGTCTCAGAAAAGAAAAGAAGCAAAGCAAAGCATGTTCAATAATTACGGCTCGCGGAGGAAGAGGATGTAGTGTTCTGTCTTACAGAATGCAATTTTGGTTTTCTTCCCAAAGCAGCAGTGATAAGGAAAGTTCAGGGATGGCCTAATGGCCCTGAGTGGACCCCAAGTTTCCCCACTCTGTCTTTGACACCCCTGTTTCCACCTCAGCCACACCCTCCCCAGTAAGTTTGGTCCCTGGAGAGAGGGAGCAGGTGCCTCCCCACTGCCTGCCACATGCATACTCAATCTGGATGGATCCAAACATGCACTCAGTAAAAATGTGAATTGGGGCCGGGGATTTAGCTCAAGCACAAGGACCCAAGTTTGATCCCTGGTACCAAAAAATATATATATATATGAATTGGTTTCTTAAAATAAAAAATGCTAGCTGGGCATAGTGGCACACACCTGTAACCCCAGAACTTGGGGAGGCTGAGGCAGGAGGCTTGCTACAATCCTGAGGCCAGCCTGGGTTGTCTCAGAAAAAAAAAAAAACCTTAAAACTAAAATTGTTTTATAGCTGCATGTTTACTTTACATGTGAAGTTCTAGCTATTTGTTGTATGTAACACTGATCAAGGAGGTCCGCCCGAAGATCATGCTTTAAAGGATTTAAGGGGTTACTCAGGTGTGCTTTTTGACTAGATTCGGGTTTTTTGTTTTTGGGGGGGTTTTTGGTACCAGGGACCTTGCGCTTGCGAGGCAGGCAGTGGAACCACTGAGCTAAATCCCCAGTCCCAGATTGTTTTCACCTTGGGCTCTAGTGCTAGAACATACTATGAGTGAGGTGTTATAGTGGGATTCTTCCCCCCCCCCCCCCCCCGTACTGGGGATGGAACTCAGGACCTTGTGCTTGACAGGCAGGCTTGCCACTGAGCTGAATCCCCGGCCCCCTCCTTTTCTTTTGAGATAGGATTTTTCTATGTAGTTCAGGCTGGCCTTGAATTCATGAGGATCCTCCTGCCTCAGCCTCCCCAAGTGCTGGGATCACAGGCGTGCACCACCACGCCCGGATTGTAGTGTGGATTCTTAAGTTCTCAACAGGTTTCTCTGGGGTCCAAGGTGTTCTTATGCATGTTGAGGATAAGGAGCAGGGCCGGGTCTGTACAGGTCTGTACCCCAGTCCAGCGGGGCAGCAGCTGGAAGCCAGGCCAGCCAGGTTGGGTGCGGCTCACTTCACAAACAGTTTTGAGATGGCTTTTGTTTTGCAGATCCACGCATTGATCACAGGCCCCTTTGACACTCCTTATGAAGGAGGCTTCTTCCTGTTCGTGTTCCGGTGTCCGCCCGACTATCCCATCCACCCTCCTCGGGTCAAACTGATGACAACGGGCAACAACACAGTGAGGTTTAACCCCAACTTCTACCGCAATGGCAAAGTCTGCTTGAGTATCCTAGGGTAAGAGGAGCCGCGCTGGGCGAGTGGTTGTTAACAGGCAATAATGACTCCAGCCCTGCAGCGGGGACGCCGAGAGGGGCGAGCACTGTTGCGGTCCCCCAGGATGCGCGTGACTGCTGCGGGCCCAGCTGCCCCAGACCTGCTGTGCTCTTCCCCAGCACCCAGGGCTCGGGTGCCTTCGTATCCGAGTCTCGCAGTGGCTTTGGAGCAGTGATGGTGATGATGGTGATGATTACTAATTGAATGGGGTGCCTGAGCCTGGGAATGTCGGCAGATCTGAAGTGTGGGAGTTGTGTGTAGAATTCTTCCTGAGTGGAGCTGAGACCTGGCCTTGAGTCCCGATTCCTCCTGTTTTCATGGCCTTTGTGGGCCACAGAGGGCCACGGAGAATGGAAATGAGCTCCAGCATGTTTGGGGTTGCGGTCTAGAGAGCAGGCCCAGGTTGCAGATTGAGGAAGACGCCTGAGTGGGGACCCCGTTTTCTCCCCGCCCAGCACGCTTCTGTGGCGAAAGGAGCTGACCGCACTGGAGATGGGCTTTTCCACAGTCCTCCAGTCCCCAGGCGTGCTCTGTTGGGGCTGTGGCGGTGAGGAAGTCCGTAAAGACGTCCTTCCCTTGGCAGGGTGCAGGCTGTGCCTGGCTCGTGTGTCCGTGTGCGTGGGTGTGTGAGTGCTGCTTGCGAACCCTGGGAGTGTGTTGGGCAGGCTCTCCCTTGGGCCAGCAGGAAGCTGTTCTGGCCAGACAGCAGCTCACGTGAGGCCCAGGACAGTCCTGGTGTGAAGGTGGCAGAGCCGAGCGGGGTGGGAGCTGTGGAGCTGCCCCTGAGTTGCTGAGAGCGATGATAAGCCTAAGCCGGCCCGGCTCAGTGGGCCGTGAGCTCTCCGGCCTCCCGCTGTCCCTCCCCTCCTAGGAGCACGGGCTGAGCCCTGACTGTCCACTGCATCCCTGACTCCCAGGGCCTTGGTCGAGGTGCTGCAGAGCCACCTGCTGAAGTCTGTCACCTCCCTCTCGAGGAGCGTGGACAAGGCCGGCCAGTTCTGGGACTCAGCGGTCCTGGCTCTGTTGGCTTCCAGCCGCTCTGCCGTCCTGTCCATTCTGAGCTCAGTTATGTCCTTCATGTCCAGGCTGCCCCTCCTCTTAATACTTGGACTGGTGACAGAAAGTGGCGATTTTGGTGTTCTCTTTGTGTCAGAGTTGTTTCCTGTATATTTTGAAAGACCTGGCCCAGTCCGGAAGTGCTCTGGCTCTCTTCCTGTCCCTTTGGCAGAGTGGTGTGGTCCTCAGGGATGCAACATTCCTTGGGTCTGAGCAGACTGGACCCAACCATGGCTCCCACGCATCCTCTACACAGGAGCTCAGTCACCTGTGTCACCCTGTCCCCTCCCTGAACCCGCCACCACCCACCCACACACAGGTACACTTTCTGCGGTGTGCGGAGGTTAACATGTAGACAACTTTTGGGGGGTTTTTTGTTGTTTTTTTTTTTTTTGGTATGGGGGATCAAACTTGGGACCTTGCGCTTGCGAGGCAGGCGGCGGAACCACTGAGCTAAATCCCCGGCCTAGCATGTAGATAACTTTGAGAGCCGTTCCTGTGACCTCTCCCTTTGTTTTGGATGTGGTAACCTTCCCTGACCCCTCCATCTTCCACAGTCCAAGCAGAGACCCTTCCACGTCACCAAGCTCCTTCCCCTTTCCCTGCCCGCGCTCCAAGCTCAGGACCGAGGGGATGGGGCCAGGCTTCCCAGAGTTACCAGCATCGTTGCTCCTGGCAGGGCTGCGGCCCAGCTCCTCTCGGCCTCACGCTTCCCTCCCCCTCCATGTGTCCGCAGAACATGGACTGGGCCCGCCTGGAGCCCGGCGCAAAGCATCTCCTCCGTGCTCATCTCCATCCAGTCGCTGATGACCGAGAACCCCTACCACAACGAGCCCGGCTTCGAGCAGGTGAAGGCCGAGCGTCAGTGGGGGCGGGCTGGTGTGTGGACCTCGGGCTTGGTCTGTGACAGTTGGCCGGTGCTGCCGCACACAGTGCTCGCCTTGGGTGGTGTGGGGCACCACACGGTAGGTAGGTCAGGTCCGTTCTGCAACTCCGGGTGTCTGGGCAGGGCCACCCAGCCAGCTCTCCTGGAGTCAGCAGCCGAGTGTCAGCAGGGGCAGCACCGAGAGCGCAGGGAGCCTGCCGAGCCTTTGTTCCTTCTCCTGGCTGCGCTGTGCTCTGGGCCCACTGAACTCTACGCGTGCTGTCTGGTCTCAGATTCACTGTGCGAAGTAACTCGTCCACACTGTCACACGAGGTCTAGAGCCCAGACTTTACTGTTGTTCCCAAAACGCCTTCTTGAATTACTCAGGAGCACAGGAAAAAAATTCAGTGATCTCAAACAAAATAATTTCAGCTGCTGTGCACACCTGTTGTCGCGGCACTCTGGGAGGCTGAGGCGGGAAGATCACAAGTTCTAGCACAGCCTGGACCACTTCATAACTTAGACCTTGTCCCCAAATACAAAGGGCTGGGAGTGGGAAGACTCTGGGTTCAATCCTCAATACTGAAAAAACATCAAAACTCGCTTATCTCAAACTAGTAATTCACGTAGTATTCCACCGACATTTGAAAGTTACTGTTTTCTTCAGAAGTTGAAACCCCTCCGCCGGCCGGCCGTGCCCTGTGGCTTCACTAATGAGCACTTTGGAAGCTGCAGTGGCGGGGAAGGGGAGGGAGGAGCTGCAGCGAGCACAGGAGGGGAGCCTTCCCCCACATCTGTCTGCTCGGGATTCCTCCCATGAAACTCCGGTCCTACTCTGGTCGGTCAGCTTCGAGAAGAGTGGGCTCAGCAAGGGTGGAACCCTCCTGCCACCTGAGAGCATGGACTGGCAGCCACTGTTCCTGGCTGGTGACTCCCACTGTCTCTGTTTTAAGGCACTGGGATTGAACCTAGTGCATCTTGCATGCTGGGCAAGCGCTGCACCCCTGAGCCACATCCCCAGTCCCCACCACCATCTTTTTTATGTTTGTTTTTGAGATAGGGTCTCACTGTGTACTTCTGGGTGGCCTTGCACTCACTCTGTAACCCAGGTTGGCTTCAAACTCCTCAGTCTCCCAAGTGCTGGGATTACAGGCCTGTGCCACCACGCCTGGCCCACCCGCCATCATTCTCAGGTGGTTATTTCCCTCTTAATTTTTTTTTTTTTTTTGATACCAGGGATCAAACTCAGGACCTTGCACTTGGGAGGCAGGTCTGCATCACTGAGCTAAACCCCTGGCCCTCCCGCTTAATTCTTACTGATCTGGGTGTGGTGGCACACCTCCGCCGAGGCAGGAGGACTGCCTTGAGTTTGAGGCCAGCCTGGGCTACCTAGTGAGACTGTTTCAAAAATTTCTCACCAGGTAGACCTTTCTCTTGCGGTTCAGAAAGATTTGTGGTCTCTGGCTTGGTTCTTGGTCAGGTGACCTGTAACAGAGGGCGCTGCTGTGTGGAGGAGGGAAAAGGTCGCAGAAGCAAAGCCCCCGTGGATCTGTGTGGATCTGCAGTGGGGATGTGTCCTCCTGGCTCACATTGTAGCCTGCCCTGTACTAACCCATGTCTCTTCCAGTCGTCTTTTCTCTGCCTCCATTTTGCATTTGGACACTGTGGTGTCTGTCAAATTGCAGGAGAGACATCCAGGCGACAGCAAAAACTACAACGAATGTATCCGGCACGAGACCATTCGCGTCGCGGTCTGTGACATGATGGAAGGGAAGTGTCCCTGCCCCGAGCCCCTGCGGTGAGTGTCAGGCGGCCCTGTGGCTTTGCATTCCCTTGGTGAGGTGGGTGGGCAGCACCTCTGAGGGCCTTTGGGGCGGCACTGGGTGCTGGGAGGCAGAGGAGGAAGATGTGTTTCATGCTTTCCCAGAACAGCTGACCGGGGTACCCCCGAGGAAGCTGCGGGAGACTGGGTGCTGGGTGAGTGGGAAGGGGTCTGTCCCTAGGGACCCCGGGCTCACGCAGGCTTGGGTGTGAGCAAGAATGCACCCTCAGAGCCCATTTCCAGCGCCCACGCTCATTTCTCTGGGTGGAGCTAATGCCCATGGAGATGTGGAGGAGGGGTGGGGAGCAGACGGCATGAGCGCACCGGGCGCTGCAGTTGGCATCCGGATGGTGACTGTTACAGGCGCTCTCGTCGGGTCACTGGCGAGGTGGGGGGAGGCGGGAGGCGTCTCTTCCCTTTCCAGTTTCAAGGTCTGTGGACTTGGGAACTAGCTGTGTGGTCTGACACTAGGGTCAGAAGGTGAGGGCCAGGAGCCCAGCCTCTAACTGCTCTGCTCTCCCCAGAGGGGTGATGGAGAAGTCCTTCCTGGAGTACTACGACTTCTACGAGGTGGCCTGCAAAGATCGCCTGCACCTTCAGGGCCAGACCATGCAGGTAACAGTAACTCCGGCCCACCAGGGGACACCGTCCTGCCCAGGGCCCTGTGGCTTCAGTTCCTAGGTCCTGGCATAAAGTGGGTGTGTGGAGTAGAGCCCTAGGCGTCCGCTCTCTAGGCCAGAGTTGGTCAGGAGTTGCCTCCTTTCCTGGTCGGGAGTTTTCCAGCCCTGGGACACTTAGCCCATCAGAAACTCAGGCTGAGCAAGGCAGGTGGCACTCCATCCTGGCCCGTAGGCCCCCAGAGAGAGGTCCCTTCCACAGGGAAGCAGGTGTGCTCCTGGGCCTCTGCCGGGACCTTCCTGCTCTGCCTTTGTGAAGGGCTCTTCTCTCCCACCCGGGTGGCTCCCATGTCTGCGTCTCACAGTGGCTGACTGACTGAGGGCCCTAGGCCTCTCCGGTCAGAGCTGCGTCTTCCTCAGCACCAGGAGAGGGAATGCCTGTGTCCTCCAGCATTGTTGCCTCGAGGCAGCTCCCTCTGTTCTTTCAAGGACGAGGCAGGCTCGGGCTCCCACTCCCCCAAAGCTGTGGGGAGAGCGTGGAGATGCTGTCTGCCCTGCTTTGAACCCTGCCAGGGCCTGTGCTGTTGAGTGCCCCGTGAAGAAAGCCTGGGGCTGGGGTGGCCGGGAAGCCTCTGTGGAGAGGCGCCCGAAGGCGGAGGAAGGAAGACCTTGAGGACCGGCAGCTCCAGAGCCATTGTGGCTCCCTTAGGCAGGGAATGCAACCCTCAGGACGGGCACAGAGCTGCCTGGCATCCGCTGTCGCCACACTGCTGGGAGGGCAGTGTGGGTGGGACAGGCTGGGGTGCGGCTCATCTCGCTCGGGCCCCAGGCTCCCTTGCCATGCGTGCGGGGAAGGAGAGCGGAAGGGAGCAGAAGGAAGGAGACCTGGGAGGGGCGCAGCTCTGGGCCGCCCTGAAAGCAGCTGCCCTGTGTGGGGCCCACGCTCACTCCAGGGCTTGGCTGGCTGGAGAAGGGGCCTGGGCTGCCCCCTCTGCAGACACCTGGAGCCCCAGGGCTGGTTGGTTTCGGGCTCGCGTGTGCCAGCCCGGACCGAGGAGCTCTGTGACAGAAGGACAAGGCTGGGGGCCCGGGCCAGGAAGGCGGGTCCCCGGGAGGCCAGGGCGCAGGTCTGCCTGTGACTGGAGGGGAGCAGTGTCCTCTCTGGGGGCGGGTGAAGGGCGGGCCTGCCCTCGGGGCTGCAGGACATGGAGGAAGAGCCAGGCGCACTCAGTGATCACCGGCCATCCCCATAGGGTGATGCCGAGCAGGGCGCCCTGCGTGGTGGCTGGCTTCTGGGGGGAGAGGCGCATCTCCTGTCGGCCCAGGCTGGCTGTGCTTTGGGCAGTGGCCGTCGTGGCCTTTGGGTCTGTGGAAGGATCATGCCGTGTGCCCTCGGTCCCCACGGGGCAAGTCCCACTGCGCCCTCACCACCCTGTCGCCTTCCCTGCCAGGACCCTTTCGGGGAGAAGCGGGGCCACTTCGACTACCAGTCCCTCCTCATCCGCCTGGGCCTCATCCGCCAGAGAGTGCTGGAGCGGCTGCCCAGCGAGAACGCCGAGATGGACTCTGACAGCAGCTCCTCGGGGACGGAGACGGACCTGCACGGGAGCCTGAGGGTGTAGGCCCTGCTCCCGGCCCGCAGGCCCTTCCCACCCCAGATGGACGGGAGGTGTGGCCACAGGATCCCGGGGTGTGGGCGGGCTGCTCCCCTTCTGACCTCCTTGGCACCGAAGCCTTGGGGCTGTGTCCCCTTCAGGGCCCAGCTCCTTTCTCGGAGCCCCCAGGGCTAGGGCCCAGCCAGACCCACCAGGACACCTCCACACCCGCAGCCATGCTCCTAGGGCGGGAGGAGACTGCCGCCGGGAGAGGGGTGCACAGGTGGCTCGGGTGGGGGCTGTCTGACGGGAGCAGTCTGGGTGGCCTGCCTGCCTGCCTGTCTGCCTGCCTGTCTGTCTGTCTATTTGTCTGTCTGCAGTCTCCCAGCAGGCTCTCAGCACCCTCCTCCAGGCCTCCCCTCCCCTCCTCTCCCCTCCTCTCCCCTCCCCTCCCCTCCTCTCCCCTCCTGTAGTTATTCCCGGGCCAGCAGACTCCTTTCCCCTAATTTATAGTCACTGTTCTAGACAGACCAAAGACAGGAACAGTGGCAGGGCCCAGGCTGCTGAGGATCCGCTGCACCGAGCACCGAGCACCTTCCCCCCTCCCCCTCCCTCAGGCTCCAGGCAGAAGGGACAGGGCAGCCCGCACACAGGCCCCGAGAAACCGGAAGTACTGTTTGTCCCCGTGATCACTGATTGGAGACTGGGGCCACTCCGGAGTGGCCCTGGCAGGGTGTCCCTAATGGCCAGAGCGCCTCTCCCGGGTGGGGCGGCTGGCGGGAGTCCTTAGCACATTTGTTTGGCTCTCCTATGTCTTCTTTTCACCCCAGCCCGAAGCCCCCTCCTCAGTTCAACCCCAGGGATTTGGGCAGCCGGTCCCCAGTGAAGGAGGGGCTGGGGCTCTGGCACCCTCCCTCCCTCCCCCTCCCCCAGCTGCTGTGTTGCTTCTCTGTTCAGCACAGTGCTGTCACTGGTTGGTCAGAAAGGCGAGGTTTGGGTGCCCAGGGTCTGGACACTGGGGACCTGCCTGCTGCTCTGTTCTTGCGTTTGCAGGTTGCGTTGTTAGGGCCCCTGGGGGTGGCGGCCCGGCCTGGGTGAGCACAGGCCGTGGGTGTGCCAGGAGGAGGGGGAGGACATCGTGAACCTGCCCTCCTGCTGCTAGGAAGTCTCTGCCCTGTGGATCCTGGCTCCCGGGGGGACGAGGATTGGGGACACAGGAGAGCATCCTGCTCCGAGGGCCACAGGTGCCACACGTGGGGTGGGGTTGGTTTCCGTGAGGACTTGGAGGGGACCCGCTTCCCACTCCCTTTGGTTCCCAGAGCTGGTCAGGCTGGAGTGCCCTGGTTTGTGGGTCCAGTGTCGCCTGCCATTCATCTAGGTGTCCCCACCCACACTGAAGTGACAATCTTCTCCTTGGCCCGCCATGGGGCAGAGCACGTCTGGCACAGCAGCCGGACTTTTACGCCCTAATCTTGAGTTGAGGAAATATATGCACAGGGGTCAGAGATGTCTTTATATCCGACTGTACATAAATGAAGTTCTTTTTTTTTCTTTTTGGTGCAATAAAGTTTGTTTTGGCAGAAGGAGGAAGCGCCTGTGGGTGCGGGGGGTGGTAAAGACGGGGCTGCCTGCTGCACCCCACCCACCTGGATTGTGGGGGGAGAGGCCCTCACTGAAGGCTGTGGCTTGTGGTCAGCAAGAGAGTCACCACCTTGGCCTCTGCGGCTTCCAGAGCCATGAGGGCAGGCAGAGGCGGGAGGCGGCTGCTCCCCTGCTAGGGCAGGGATGGGCCGCTCAGACCTCAGCGCTACCTCAGCTCTGCCCCTGTGCCATGGAGGGGCCTGGCCTTGGGGTGCCGGAGAAGAGGTCCATGCAGTGTCCCTGAAGCTGTGGCCTGACTCCTACGGGGCTGGGAGGGGCAGACGCACTCACTTCCTACTGGGCCAGTGTCCCTGTGCAGCAAGTCGCTCACGGCCTGCAGCCCCCACAGAGGGTGCAGGGGCCCCTGGTCCCTGAGGAGTTGGAGCCAGCCGAGCGGGGTCCCCTGAATTCTCCAGGTCTCAGAGGCCAGGCCCTCGGGCAGGGGACACAGTCTCGCTGTCCTCTGCCACTCAGGTTTTCCCCAAGACGCTGCCCTATTGAAGGCACTTTTAAAAAATAAAAAATGGGAGAAGAAAAAACTTGGAACTTTATTTTCTAGAAACAAGATTGTCCAGGTCCCTCCTGTGCACCGCCATGCACCTCAGTGGGATGGGATCGGGGAGGCCGAGTCATGGCAGCGCCTCACTGGCCTCCTCAGCTGTGATCTCCTGTGAGTAGAGGTCGGCAAAGAGCGCGGGCAGCCAGTAGTGTGCCTCGCCAACGGCCTGCAGGTCCAGCCAGGCCAGCCCCTCCTTGAGCAGGTGCTCCTGGGGAGAAGCCACAGTCGTGGTGAGAGGCGGCCCAAGGTGGCAGCCAAGCCTCGCTGCCCGGGTTGGCCTTGGCCTGAACTTGAGCTGTGGGGAAGAGACAGGCAGCAGTGTGCTGCGTGGGCTCAGTGGCCACTGACTCTCTTCTGGGGTAACAGCAGCTCAGTCCACACTGCTTCTGTCCACACACCGCAGAAGGCAGCAATGTGGCTCAGTGGAAAACGTGACTCCAACAGTTGGTCACAGACTCGGGTGAGGATCCCTTCCCCTGCATCGCCACTGTCACAAACCCAGGACCTGCAACCCCTGCAGGTTCGCAGTGTCCGGGACAGCGTGTGGGGCCAGTCCCACCCAGGGAGCTCTCCACAGTGCCATGCACCCGTCCTCCAGGGCCCTGCGTCCCTACCTACCAGCACCTGGCGCGCACGCTCTGTCTCCCACTTGAGGCTGGCCCGGATCTCACTGACTGTCACGTACCCATTTTTCTGTAGGGAGGATGGGGCTGAGTGAGTCAGGGCTGCAGAAATGCAACCCCGCAGTTGGAAGCGCCGCCTTGGGCAGGCCGGGAAAGGGCATCTGGGGCCCCGCGGAGGGAGAAGTGACGGAGGGTCACAGTGGTCCCACCTGACAACACGGGAGCCCAGGTACTGGGACCAAACACCCAGCCACAAAGAGCCATGGTGACTGACGGAAGGGAGGTCACAGCTGTCACCATCCAACAGCGAAGACCACACTATGGCTTCGCCTCCCGCCCCTCCTTTTCCGACACAATTTAAAAAACGGGTGTGGTGTGGGGAAGACGGTACATGCTTCAGGCATGCCCAGGAATGAGGACCGGCAAACCAAACTATCTTTGGGGGAGTGGGTGTGAGGCAGGGTCTCATTGTGTAGCCCAGGCTGGCCTTTCAGCCTCCTAGTACTGGGATTACAGATGGGCTTCCCCACCCCACGCAGGGCACCAAACTCTCCTAAAGAATCCCCAGTGTAGTTTAAGAAGACGTCAGAGAGCCCGCCTGCCCCAGGAAGCCTCGCTCCACCCCACCCCGAACAGGGCCCAGGCCCGCACCTCGGCCAGCTGTAGCACCACGGTGTGGTCCATGTTGAGCTCCGCAGGCACAGACTGGATGAGGTAGGTGCCGCCCACTGGGATGATGCCGAAGCCTGAGCCCAGCGCCTTGAGCTTCTTGATGGCCCTGAGCAGGTCGTCCCTGCATGAGGTGAGGAAGAGCATCGTGAGGGTCCCCGTGGATCCCACCCAGCGACACCACCCAGAGATGAGGCGCGTCCAGACAAAGCAGCCGGCCAGGTGTGGCTCAGCGCCAGGCACTTGGCCTGGCCGGCACAAGGAGGCCCTGGGCTCCACCCAGTACTCCCAAAAAGGAGCACCAAATAGCGCTTGGACAGGCAAGCGAAAGGGTACAGGAGGCAGCGGGCCACTCAGCAAACCTGCATGGGTGCGTGACAGGGTTGAACCCAGGGCCTTCCTGCTGAGCTACATCCCTAGCCCGTTTTTTTACATTTAAAATTTTCAGACAGTTGCCCAAGCTGGGCTCGAGCTTTTGATCCTCCTGCCTCAGCCTCTTGAATGCTGGGATCACAGACGTGCACCACCATGCCTGGTGTGTTTTTTTAGTGCCGGGATAGAACCCAGGGCCTCATAGCACAGAACTACACCCAGCCTTTTTTTTTTTCTTTTGAGACAGTGTCTCAATATGTAGTTCAGGCTGGCCTTGAACTTGCAGCAATCCTACTGCCTCAGCCTCCAAGTGCTGGGATTACAGGCCTGCGCCCACCACACCTGGCTTCTCCATCTGACTTTAACACTCTCTTTCTCCACTCCAAGGGCTTAGAAGGTGAGACCTACTGGCTGACGTCCTGCGCGAACTTGCCCCTTCCCTTCAACACCTGCTGGTGCAGCTCCTCCAGCGTTATGAGACCTGTCGGAGAGGGGGCGGCGTGCAGTGAGACTGCAGCCTTCATGGCTGCAAGCACTCTCTTCTTTGGTTGCAGTACTGAGGATCAAACCCAGGGCCTTCACACTGAGCCTCATTCCCCACCCTTTAAAAAAACTGTTGTATTGTTTGACAGTTCTCCCTAAGTCGCTGAGGTGCCCAGGCCAGGCTGGAACTTGCAATCCTCCTGCCTCAGCCTCCCCAGTGCTGGGATTAGAGGCCTGTGCCACTATGCCTGGCCTGCCACCACTTTAAATAGATGCTCATTCCTTTCCAGTGGCTGCCAGGTTGCAAACAGCACTCCAGTTGCTAAATTTCTTTCACCTGTTTTCTTATAAGCTAACTGGCTACACAATGAGAAATGTGGTCTCCGACCTTGTCAGAACTTCAGTAGAGGGAGACCTAGGAAAACCCTCCTAAAACTTACAGCATCATCTTTGAAAGGCCATATATACACAAAGGTTCTTCACTACAGGCTGCGTCTATTCAGACCCAATGATTTATCAATTTAAAATTGGTTATAAGTTTTCCTTTTCTGTTTTTTTAAAAAGAAAAAAAAGTTTTTTTTGGTTTGTTTTCTGGTTTTGTTGAGACAGGTTCTCATTATAGAGCCCAGGCTGGCCTCCAATTTGCAGTGATCCTCCTGCCTCAGCCTCCTGAGTGCTGGGACCACAGGCGTGCGCCGCCACACCTGGCTCCATTTGCACTTCTTTTCAGAAGTGGTGTCTGTTCGTCTCACAGGCTCATTTTTTTTGAGGCCTTTTGTTTTGAGGGGGTCGCAGGGTTTTTTTGGTTCTTTATATTCTAGATACGAGTCCTCCATACAGGAACAGCTGGGAAAAATTTTTTTCCCATTCTGTAGGTTGTCTTTTTTTTCCTTTTGGCAGGAGCGGGGATTGAACCCAGGGCCTTCACACTGAGCTACAGCCCCTGCCTTGTTTAAAAAAAAAAGAATCACAGGATCTCACTGGGTCACCAAGTTGCCCAGGCTGGGCTCAAACTTGCAATCCTCCTGCCTCAGCCTCCCAGAATGCTGTACCACAACACCTGGCTTAAGGTCAGATTTTAGGACCATGGGGACTCTGAGGCGTCAGCACACCCCGGAGCGGCAGTGTAGGGCCTGACCATCAGCCCCAGTGCCCACCTCCCACAGAGCATGGCCAGGCCAACCCTGACTATCGTCAAGGCAACTGCTCTCCCTGGGCCATGAGACAGCAGGTGGCGGAAGCAGCGCCTCAGGCCTGGGCTGCAAACAGGCACTGAGGGATCAAAGCAAAGCCCCCGCATCTGAGGTCCGCTCCACGGGGCCCAGGTGGGAAAGGTCACTTCTGAGGTCTGCTCTGCTCCCCCCGGAGCCGAGGCCCCGTCCCCCACCACGCGGCTCCCCTGCCCCTCACCTCCGTTGCGGTGCTTCAGTGCCAGGCACACCTCGATGACCTGCACGCCCAGCTCGTAGTAGAAGTCGCCCACACCCAGCATCTCCGACCAAAAGCCTTTTCCAGCTACAAAACAGAAACCCAAGAGCCAGCTTATTGCTCCATTTTTGTCCCTTTTATTCCTTCAACAATGGCTGAAAAGATCTCTCTCTAGGGAGGTCTTTCCCCCAGCCACAAGTCTGGCTCCACTTGTACCTTAGGGTCCCTTGAATCTGACTCTCGGGGAGCCTGTGCTGAAGAACAGGCTCAGACGGCTGCACAGGATGGACACTGTGCAAGGCCTTTCTGGAGCTGGTTACAGCCCAGCTGGAAGGCTCTGGCCACCTTACATGAGGCCCTGGGTTCCATGCCTAGCAGGAAGGGAGGACGGCACAGGAAGGGAAAAAGCCCGGTGTGGTGGTGCACACCTGTAATCCCAGCACTCAGGAGGCTGAGGCAGGAGGATTGCCACGAGTTTGAGGCCAGCCTGAACTGTGTAGTGAGACCCTGTCTCAAAAGAAAAAGAAAAGGAAGGAAAAGGAGGAAAGAGGAAAGGTTCAGCATGCTATAAGAATGAGTTTTCGGTGCCTGCCTCGCAAGCGCAAGGTCCAGAGTTCGATTCCTGGTACAAAAAAAAAAAATCGATCTTAAAAGAATGAGTTTTCCTTTCCCAGAGCAACTCCCAGAGTGAAATAGTGTGGGAAAGGAAGTCTACTCAAGGCTGAGACAAAAATAAGCAGCCTTAGCGTCCTAAAGGTCATGGGGGACAATATTCAGTTGTTTTTTCTTTTTCTGGTGCTGGGGATTGAACTCAGTCTCACGAATGCTGGGCAAGTGCTCTGCCACTGAGCTACATACAGCCCTGGCCCGCCCATCCATGCATCCATCCATCCATTTACTGTGCTTCTGAGGACTGAACAGGGCCTCTGCACTGCGCAGCATCTCCCCTTTTTATTTTGAGACAGCCCTAAGTTGCCCAGGCAGGGTGCACTCTTCCTGGGTCAGCCTCCCAGTGCTGGCACCACAGGTGTGCACCACCATGCGTGGCTGTCCTGAGACAGGGCCTTGATAAACGGCCTAGGCTGACATTCTCGATTCCCTCTCTCAGCCTCCTGAGCAGCGGGAACTGTGGTTGTATGTGCCACACCCGGTGAAGACAACATTCTATTAAGTGAAAACTGCAGGTTACAGAGCAGTGATTACAGCGTAATTCCAAATATGTGAAGGGTCCAGAAGTCTGAGGCAAATGTCTAGAAAGATATACTAATGTTCTTCAAGTTACAGTGAGATTATGTCACAAAAAACCCATCATAAACTGAAAATATTACATCAAAAATGCATTTAAAGAGCCAGACCTTACTGGGCATAATGGCACAGGCCTATAATACCAGCACTTGGGAGGCTGAGGCAGGAGGATCTCAGGGAGCTCGAGGCCAGCCTGAGCTACCTAGTGAGACCCTGTCTCAATAAGGCAAAAAATAAAATAAAATAAAATTGCATTTATACACCTGTTCTACAGAACATCACAGGCTAGCAAAACAATCCACTATAGGCTATCGGTTACCCTTCGACTGAGCCGCCACCCTGTCACAAGAGAAAATCACACCAGGGAAAAGACAGACTGAAAAATTCAAGTATGGTTTCTAGTGAATGCTGTCTGGGGTTTGTCATTTTTTATTTTTGAGACGGGTTCTTGCCATGTTGCCCAAGCTGGCCTTGAATTCACCACCCTCTGCTTCAGCCTCCCCAGGAGGAATGAGCAGCATGTGGCACCTGCCCCTGGCTTGCTGTCTGTCTCTCGCTGTTGGCAGCCCTCTCCTCCGGAATTCTAGCACACGGTGGGGGCCTTGCGCTCCCTCCTCTACACTGCATTGTGCTGACTGACTGCATGACCGCATGCTACTCTCCCCCACAGGAAGGGGGAGGGCAGGCCGGGGCGGGCCCACACCTGCAGTCCAGGCACTGAGAGGCCCAGGCAGAGGATCCTGTTTCGAAATCAAACTTAAGAAGGGCTGGGGATGCAGCTCAGTGCTAAGAGCTGCCCGCATCCGTGTCCAGGACCTGTGCTCCTGCCTTGCATCTGCCCCTTCCTGCCAGGCACTGGACATCTCATGGGGACGGCGACCTTGGACACCCACAGGCCCGCCCAGCGGACGCCCCAAGGACAGTGACAGCAGGGAGGACACGGAGCCCCAAGGACAGTGCCTTACAGGCCAGGGGGTCCACCCCGATGGTCGCGCACATGTCCTGGAACTGCACTCGGAACTCGGGGTTCTTCCGGATCTCCTGCTTGTGCTTGCTGGCAAACTCCTCCAGGTTGGTCTTGAACATGTCCAGCTGCTTTGACATCTGGGGGATGGATGGCAGGGGGGAGTCAGGGCCAGCCCAAGTGACAGACACCAAGCAGGTCCCCAGCCAGGAGCAGGGAAAGGCCACTCCTCAGGTGACTACTCCTCGGCTTCTGGTCCCCTCCTGGCTGCCCCTGCCCCTCCCCCTCCCTACCAGGCTGTGCTCAGCAGGAAGGAGGTCCTGTCCTGTCCTGTCTTGTCCTGTCTTGTCCTGTCCTGTCCTGTCCTGTCCTGTTCTGAGACAGCCTCACTATGGAGCCCGGTCTGGCCTCAAACTCCCCGCAATCCTCCTGCCTCTGCCTCCTGAGTGGTGGGATTACAGCTGTGCACCACACCTGGCTCTCTTCTCCACCCTGAAATGCGTAGTTTTTCAAGCAGCCCTGTTCTAAGACGCTCCAAAGAATTACAGACATGTTTAGTATGGCGCTTCTCTTTTTCCCAGAAAACAACATTTTTTTAATGGAACTAGGGATTGAACTGAAAGCTTGGCATGTGCTATGCAAGCACTTCTACCGAGCTACAGTCCCAGCCCTCTTATTTGATTATGTTTGATTTATTTGATTTTTATTTGAGGCAGGGTCTCGCCATGTAGTTCAGGATGGCCTTGAACTCACTATGCAGCCCAGGCTGTCCTCGAACCCCGAGGTGATTGTCCTGCCTCAGCCTCCCGAGCGCTGGGATGACAGGCGCGTGTCCCCACGTCAGGTGAAGACTGTCAGTAAACTGAAGGGATGCCTACACTCCACTCTGTCTTGGAAGTGAGGGAAAGCAGTGGTTATTTACCACTCCACTCCCTGGTCTCCTTGGGGATCAACTCCAAGTATGGGGGAAGGGGGACTGCACAAACCAACACAAAAGGGTTGGGGGTTCTGACTTTTTGTGTGAATTACTTACTCTCTACCCCTAATTAATAAAGACCATCTTCTGTCCCACCAAGAGTTAACCACTCCTGGCTGAGCACCTTTTTCCAGTATTGGGATTCAATCCAGTGGCGTTCACAATGAGCTATACCCCCTCAGCCCTTTTTTATTTTTAATTTTGAGACAGTCTCACTAAATCACTAAGTTATCCAGACTGGGCTTGGACTTTCGATCTTCCTGCTTCAGCCTCCCAGAGCACCCGGATTACTGGTGGGTCCCACCACACGCACCTCTGAGCCGCATAAAACTCCAACATCTATACATTCTGGGTGGGTTTTGTTCTGTTTGAGGTCCTGGGGATTAAATTCAGGAACTCTCAAAAGTTTTCAAAATCTACAAAGGGTTGGGGATGTAGCAGAGTGCTTGCCTAGCAAACACACAGCAATTTCCAGTACTGCAAAAATAAAAAGTCAATAAAGAAAAAATAAGTAAGTCAATAAATAGCTCTATCATTTACTACACAAGGTAAGTTACTTAGTTAGGCTGGGGATTTAGCTCAGTTGTTCCACCGCCTGGCCAGCAAGCGCAAGGATCTGAGTTCAAGCCCTGGTACAAAAAAAAAAAAAAAAAGACATTTTTTGCGCCACCTGGCCAGTTACTTAGCGCCTCGGTGATTTCAATTCTAAACTGCTAACAGTAGAGTTCCTTCTTTAGGACTGTGAGAGACATCTGAAGGTTCTCTGAATTAAAACAGTCACAGCTGGGTGTGGTGGTGATGTCTATAATCCCTGCATTTGGGAGGCTGAGGCAGGAGGATCTCTGCATAACAACCACACACACACACACACACACACACACACACACACACACACACACACACACACACTCTCTCTCATATATACACAGAGTCACTGTATCAACCCTACCAAAAAAAGTTGGGAGCTTATAAAGGAAGAGTTTTTGAACATGACTGACTCTGACTGCCTGATAAGAACTACAAGCTTGCATTGAGGCAACTGTGATCTTACATAAATGTTAGTTTTTTATTTTGTTTTGTTTTGTTTAAAACAAGGGTTCCACTAAATTGCTCAGACAGGATCAAATTTGCAATCCTTCCCCCTCAGCCTCCCAAAGTATCCAGAGTACACCTGAGATTACAGGTGTGTGCCACTGTGCGTGGCTCAAAAAGTACTTCTAGCCAGGCATGGTGGTGCCTACTTGTAACCGCAGCACTCAGGGAGGCTGAGGCAGGAAAATCACAAATTCAAGCTTAGTCTGGGCAACTGAGTGACATGGCAAGCTCTGTCTCAAAATAAAAAAAATAGGCCCCGGGATTTAGCTCAATGGTGCCACTGCCTGGCTCACAAGCGCAAGGGCCTGAGTTCCACCCCTGGTACCAAAAAATAATAATAATAATAACAATAAAAAAGAAGCTCAGTGCCAAGGTCCTGGGTTCAATCCCCAGTACCACCAAATAAATAAATAAATAAAAATAAAAAAGCCCCTTGGGGCTGGTGATGCTGAGGAAGTAGAGAAAGCAGCTCAGTGGCAGAACACCTGGCTGGCATGCACAAGGCCCTGGGCCCACACTCAGCTTTCTTGCCTCAAGGTCTTTGAATAGCCCCATGGTTGACTAGAGCATGAGTCTTCGCAATACAATGCTATTCTCAAATAAGTGGTAGTGGTTTTGGAGAATCTATTTATTGTGGTACTAGAGATTAAACTCAGGACCTTTGAACTGAGCTACATCTGGTTCCTCCCCACCTCTGTCTGGACACAGGTCCTTGGAAATTGCCCAGACTGGACTCAAATCTGTGATCCTGCTGGGCACTGTGGTGAACCCCTGTGATCGCAGTACTCAGGAGGCTGAGGCAGGAGGATTTTCATAAATTTGAGGCCAGCCTGGGCTAGTGAATTCAAGGCCAGCCTGAACTATTTAGTAACACCTTGTCTCAAACACTCCCTCCCCAAAATTAAAAATAATAAATAAACTTGCAATCCTCCTGCTCAGTCTCTCAGTGCTGCGATTACAAGTGTGTCACACCATGCCTGGCTCGTCTCTAATTTAGGATGACAGAGGATTGAAAAAGTCAGCGAATGTGAAGAAAATGGCCAAAGGCATTAAGAGTGCTTGCTGGCGCGAGGCCCTGAGTTCAATTCCTAGCATGACATAAGAAAAAGGCAGGAGGAAAACAGGGAGGAAAAAAATGGAGAAGTGTCCAGGACCTTATGAGCTTGTAATCATTCAAAGATGCCAGCTAATATTAGCGTCACCTACACGACCGCAGCAGCCCGAATTCAGGATCTGCCAGACCCCCATATTTTTAGTTCAATCTACACGTCGTTTACACCGAAGGCGTCCTGACGGTCCGGTGTCTCCCTCGCTGCCACCACTCACCTGGGTCAGCTGGTCCTCGGCCAGGACGGTGCCCCGCTCCTTATACTTGGCCTGTGGACAGAGACTCGCGTGAGTGGCAGTGGGCGCTGGGCCCCCGCTGTGTGGCCACATCTGAACTGAGCAAAGGGAAAGTGTCTCTTAATTTTCCTTTCTCTGTGTAAGGAAGGACAGGCTGAGGGAGACTTGTCTGTTGTCAAGCTTGGGGAGAGGGGGTTAAGGGGTGCAGAGTCTGGGACGCTGCCACGCCGGTCACCGGGAGCTGGGGACACTCTGTGCCCGCGTCCCAAAGCCTGATGGGAGGCGACTTTGGGTGCAGAACTCTGCCGTGCTTTCGTCTCGCGGCCAGGGTGGGGGCCGGCCAGCTGCCCTCACCTCAGCAAGCTTCTTCTTGGCGATGGCGCCAGCTCCCACCCCGCGGCGGTGCATCCCCGATCTGGGCCCGCGGCCCGCCCCGCCGCCAGGACCCCCACTCGCAGCGTCCCGTTTCGGCCCTGGCTCCCAACCCGGAAGTCCGGGGTTGCGCATCATCAGTGCGCGCCGGAAGTCACTGGCCGCGCTTCCGGGCGCGGCCCGAAGGGCTCTTAGGGTGGTAATCCTACCTTTCGCTGGTGGGCAAGGTCTGAGAGGCCCCGGTGACACGGAAGGTGCGGGGCAGGGATGCGATCCCAGCCCTCGTTGGCTGGCGCGGAGACGCAGACCCTCGCCGCTGTCATGCTTTGGGCCAGGACCTCCCAAGACCCCTGCTTTACGGACAGGTCGACAGATGGTCCCCGATCACATAGAAGCCAGGCCTGTGCTGGCCATCGAACTTCTGTACAGTGCAAAAGCCACGGTTGTCCCGTCAACACATTCTTTTAGTTTTTTTTTTAGACAGGGTCTTGCTACGTAGTTCAGGCTGCTCTTGAACTTACTATCTCAAATTTGTGGCAATCCTCCTGCCTCAGCCTCTGGAGTGCTGGGACCACCCAGGTTTTTTTTTTTAATTTATTTTCTTATTTTGGTTCATTACAGCCTTTTAAACATACTCTCATACACACTGACCTCCAGTAGACCAATCCACCTCCTTTTGCATGAAACAGCCCCAATCAGACAAAAATGCAGAAATCTTAATTGGCTTTATTTTCAGCTCTAGAGTTGGGCAGCTCTCCATCCCTTAAAGAAGAGTGTTTTGATGGTCGCACTTCTAGAGGTCAGGGTTACAGGCAGAAAGTTGAATAAAGCAGAAGCAGGAAGTAGATTGGTCGTTTCAAAGTTACAGTCCTTGTGAAGTGGGGCCAGGGAGACAGAATAATAGGCAAATAACTGATTGGTTGACATCAGATTATTTCAGGTTACCTTTCAGTGTTAAGAATAAAGGCAAGGGGGACTTGATTATCATCACAATAGAAAGTGGCCTGGTGGGGAATATCCCTGGAATCCTGTTATCCCAACAATCCTAGTATCCTGACAGATCAAATAAACATCTTAGTTTTCTGGGCCTCATGGTGCACACCTGTGATCCCAGGGCTCAGGAGGCTGAGGCAGGAGGATTGCTGTGAGTTCCAGGCCAGCCTGGGCACCATTGTGAGTTTAAGGGCAGCCTGAACTACACAGCAAGACCTGTCTCAAAAACTAGCTTAGCGTCCACTTTGTGATGTGGAGCTTTATGGTGACTCCAATTTGATTTTTAGCTTAGTGTGTTGGGATCTGGTGCAGGAATTATGGTCTCAGCAGTGGCTAGTGTAATTTCCATCACTCGTGCCCACCTGTGCTGACCTCCTCGTAGTGTCTTCGACTCTCTTAAACACCAAATCTGGCCCCCAAGATGCTCACGCTGCCTAGACGCACCCTCCTCCTCCGTGCCCTGGACTCCAGCGTGAGAACCGCAGAAGGAACTGTTTGCATCCACTCGAATGGGTCACAGCTCCCTGCATGCGGGCCTCACAAGCCAGACATGCGTGGCCCCTGTTCAGACTCCTCGGTTTTCTTTGGTCTTTCTGACAGAAGTTCTCTGAGCAACTGGTGATTCATGGAAGAGTTCCTGGCTGGAAGGAGCAGCCCAGTTTGTAGCCTTGGCCGGGATTGATGGTGTGATTCTCTGACCATGGCTGATTTCATTCTCCTAGTGCTTCCCAACCTGATCACAGGTAACTGGATGAGTCAACGATGGCTCCCTGACCTCCGTGCCACACACCCTGAGGTCAGGCATCCCACATGGCCTCCCTCTCGCCCTCCCAAGGGCTTGCTGGCCTGTGGCAGGGTGGCTGACTCCTGCGTGGGCTTTTAATTTCCTACTTCTCTGAGGCACAGTTAACAGCTATTATGTTTTTGTCTTTGAGACAAGGTCTCATTCTGTAGTTCAGGCTGGCCTAGGACTCATGGTGATCCTCCTGCCTCAGCCTCCCGAGTGCAGGGATTACAGGCCTGTGCCACCACACCTGGTTTATTCCCTTCTAAAATTAATTTCTGGGCCAGGGATTTAGCTCAGTGGTTCCACTGCCTGCCAGGTCCCAAGTTCAATCGCCAGTACCAAAAAAAACCCCACAACATACACAGTGCTAGAATAGGAGGCCTCAGGCATATGATCTTTTCACAGACAATAAATGGAGGCCCAAAAGAGAAAATAGCAGAGCAGAGCAATGAAGCGTTTGGATCCCAGCTGTCCAGGGCCTAATGGGCTAAATGGGGGAGGCGCCAGGCTGACTTCGCAGGCGCAGAGCAGATCTTGCAGACCCGAGTGCTGGGCCCTGTTGCAGGCAGCCTGCGTGGGGAGGGATTGAGGTGTGGACTTGAGGCAGCTGCCCACTTCCCATCACCCACTACAGCCACCCTGGTCTAAGCCCCCATCATCTAGAATCCCGTGAGAGCCTGAGGAGGCTCTTCCTCTTCGCCTTCACCCCCATATCATCCCAGTAGATCCTCCTGCTTCAGTCTCCCTGCATGCTGGGCTCATAGGCGTGTGCCACCATGCCCAGCTCAGATGTGTCTCTCTTTCTCTTTTCTTCTTTTCTTTCTTTGTCTTTTTTTTTTTGGTACCGTGAATCAAACTCAGAACTTTGCACTTGCCAGGCAGGTGCGGTGCCACTGAGCTAGGTCCCCCGCCCTCAGATGTGTGTCTTTCCACTGGGAGGGACAAGCATACGCAGACACCCACACACAGGCCCTGTGCACGCTCCGCAGACGTCTGAATCAGCTCAGGATAGACAAGCGATTTATTTCAGCACATTCTTTATTGGGCTGGCTTCTTAGGGACTCTGGAGTGAGGAGGGGCGGAGCTGGGCAGGCAGAGGGCAGAGTTCAGCTGGACCTGGGCGGGGAATAAGGGCGGGGAGGGGCGTCATCCCCGCGCGGGTTGAAGTTGAGACCTCCCCTGTCCTTGTCACCCTCCTACAGAGCCCTCTCCCTCCCCATTGCCCCCTGTCAAAATCTAGATTTTAACCAGGCTCGCCAAGCATGGTGGCGCACACCTGTGATCCCAGCACTGGGGAGGCTGAGGCAGGAGGATTGATTCAAGTTCAAGGCCTGGACTACAGAGCAAGACCTTGTTGTCTCAAAAAACCTCACTACAATCCCATGAGATAGGTTTTGAGGTCAGAACTGGGGTGGGTGGGTGGCAAACCCAGGCACACTAGCTGGGCGAGCACCCTGCCCCTAGCTGCATCCTTAGCCCTCCAATGAAACGCTTCACTTGCTTTCCTTCTAATGAAAACACTTAGATGTGGTAGGCACAGGCCTGTAATCCCAGCTCTTGGGAGGCTGAGGCAGGAGAATTGCTGAGTTCCAGGCCAGCCTGGATTACATAGGGAGACCCTGTCTCCAAAAAAAGAAAAAGAAAGGCCAAGTAACCTGCTCATGTGTGTTGAGGCAAAGGTCTGAATAAGGCCAGGGGTGCTGCTTGGTGGCAGAAGGCTTGCCCGGGACCCCCAAGGCCTGGTCCATCCCCAGTAGTACTGAGGGGATGGCCTGCACTCACATGACTGGAAGCTGAACCTGCTTGTGCCTCAGGCCCAGAAGCTCAAGCTCAAGCTCCTGCTGTGTGCCGGGAGGGCGCAGAGCCCAGCCACACACCCACCTGAGACTGCACAGATCTGTCCATTCCACCACCAAGGCCAGGAGCTCCTGTAGCAGCAGTTCCCTCAACAGCTCCTCGTCCTCACCTGGGGTCCTGAGGGGGGCAGCGAAGGGGACAACGAGGGAGCCTGCTGAGCCCAGCCTCCCCAGGGAGCGGGTCCGGGGTATGACACCACGGGGCAAGCAAGATGGGGCGGCTGTGGCCTCTCGGTTCCCTCAGCTCTCAGATCCTGGGGACCCAGGCTTTTCAGTACAGCCAGAGCCAATAGGAAAGCCAAGCATAGTCATGCACATTCATCCCAGGACTCAAGAGACTGAGGCAGGAGGATCGCCAAGAGTTCCACACCAGCGTGGCTTAAAAGTGAGGTCAAGGCCACCCTGAACTACATAGCCAAACCCTAACTCAAAAAACCCAGGGCCGGGGATTTAGCTCAGTGGTTCTGCCGCCTGCCTTCCAAGCGCACGGACCCAAGTTCGATCCCCGGTACCAAAAAAAAAAAACCAACAAATAGCCGGGTGTGGTGGCACGTGCCCTGCTGAGGGGTGTGCCGAGGTGGGTGACCGGAAGGAAGCCAGGGTCCTTTCTGCTCCTCTGGGGCCCTCACCTCTGCGGCTCCGCTGCCCCCTGATTCCCCTGAGGTGCAGGCAGCTCCAGGTTCCGGGTGTTCCTCTGGGTGATGTTGTGTCTCCAGCTGGAGGAGAGAGGTGAAGATGGAAGTGGAGATATCGCCCCATCTGGGGACACTTGGATGTTTTGTCTCCCTGACCCAGGGAGCAAGGACGCCACTTTCTCCACTCAGCCTTCACCAGTGACCACTTTTCGGAACTTGCCAGGTTGGCCAGGGTGGGTGGCCCACGCCTATCATCCCAGCAGTCTGGAGGCTGAGGCAGGAGCATCCCTGAAAGTTCGAGGCCAGCCTGGGCTACATAGCAAGACCCTGTCCTGACCGCCCCCCCAGGAGGAAAGAGAAGTGAAGATGAGGACGCCTCCATCGCTCTGCTGCCTGCACCACGGGGCTTCTGGGCCGGGCCAAGCTGCCCTGAGAGGCGTGCAGGGCACTGCCTGTGGTCTGAAGGCAGAGGGCAGCGGGGAGGGGCAGGGGAGCCCGGGGGACGCACTCGCTCTTCTTCCCCTTCTGCGCCAGCAGCCAGTTCACGAAGTCCTGCTGGCGAATCTTGTCCATGGCGATGCTGTAGTCGCTGATGAATGTCCCCTCTGCGTACCTGGGGCCTCGGGGGCCGCGAGGCCGGGCCTGGGGTCTGGGGGTAGAGGACAGAGTGGGGAGGGGAGAGAGGGGCTCCAGACCCTGGGAGACTGATCCTCAATGACTGGCAGAGGACAGCCCTGCCCAGGGCCAGGGTTTATCTTCCTGCATGTGCGTGCGTGCGTGCGTGCGTGCATGCGTGTGTGTGTGTACACGAGCATGCGTGCGCGCTTCTGGTTTCTGGGCAAAGAGGGCTCAGGAATCTCGCTTATTCCCAGGGACTGAGTTACACAGTTCCTTGCTTTCTTCCTCTTGCCTTTCCCAATTCAGTTCTTTAGCTCAGATCCAAAAAGTAAAGCCTGTCATTCCAACACTAGGGAGGCTGAGCCAGGAGAATCTTGGTGAGTTCAAGGTCAGCCTGCCCTGCACTACACATTGAGACCCTGCCTCAAAAAACCAGAAAACACAAACAACCACCCCCCCCACCCCCCGAAAACAGAAACAGAAACGCTCTCTGCATCTGTCCTCTCTGCGTTCCGGCAGCGGACAGTCGTTTTTCACAGCCCAGCCTCTCGGGTGGCCTGGGCTTCCTGCTCCTCATGGCCCCCAGCCGCTGACCTCCTTCCGCCCCTACCTGCTCAGAGCCTCTCCCTTGTGTCCCAGCCCTGCAGCCAGGAACAGCAGCACCAGCACCAGAGAGCAGGTCCTCATGGCTGCCATCACCCACGGGGTTTCTGAGCCTGGAGAGAAAAGGGCCAGAAGAGGGGCATCCGGGATGCTGTGAAGTCTTGAAGCCGGGCTGTGCTGGGTGCCAGGGCAGTGCCTCCAGGAAGGTGGGGGTTCAGGCAGTAGAGGCAGTGATACAAAGGACTTGGACCTGCTGTGTGTTGTTTTTTCTTTCTTTGAGACAGGGTCTCACTATGTGGCCCAGCCTGGCCTGGGACTCATGGTGATCCTCCTGCCTCAGCCTCCCCAATGCTGAGATAACAGGCGTGCGCCACCACACCCGACTCCCTTAAAGTCTGCCTGCCCTTTTCCTGTTGGGTCTTAGCTAGAGACAGGGAGCAGAGAGGAAGCTCCCTCCAAAGCCCTGCACACCCCAGCTGGCCCTTGGAGCTGGCCTTCCTGAGGGCCCGCCCCACTGCGGTCCCTTCCGCCCAGTCTCAGCCTCTGTCTTACCACACTCTCCCAGAATCCAGAAGGACGGGCTGGGGTCCCTTCCAGCTCCCTCCATCCCTGCTGCTTTATACTGTGGCTTCCAGGCCCCATTGGCCTAATCCCATCTTATCTCGGCGTTCCGCCACATTAGGCCTCTGTACACAGGGTGACCGCGCCTCCGCAGCTGCCCCGAGCTAATTGGTGATTAACATTTGGGTATCTGGGCTGCAGGCTGGGCACCACTGCCGGGACCCCATGCCCGTCCTCCCCTCGCCGGGCAGGCCCGCTGCTGCTCCCCACTTCCTGACTGTGCCTCAGGTTGGTGAGCTGGGCAGGGCACGCGTGGGGAAGCGTGGCGCTTCTAGGGTAGAGGAGAGGTCACAGTCATCTGAACACCAGTTTAAGCCCAACATGGTGGTGTGCGCCTGTCATCCCAGCACTCCAGAGGCTGAGGCAGGAGGATCTCCAGGAGTTGAAGGCCAGCCTGGGCTACATAGTGAGACCCTGTCTTAAGAAGCCAAATAAATGGCCAAGCTCATTTTCTGCCTCTCCAGTCCAGGGCCTGAGAGAGGCCCCAGGTGGACTTGGTGGCCTGGGATCCAGCAGGAAGTTAAGTGCCGCGTGGGCTGCAAGATCCCAGGGAGGAAGCCGCCTGCCCTGCCACCTGGAAACCAGCCTTCTGCTCACCCATTGCTCACATCCCCCAGTCTCACCCAGTGAGCGCCCTGCAGTCATCTCCCAGCGACAGCGACAGCGGCCTCAGCCTTCAGGGGACACGGGACTGCCAGGACCTGTGTCCTGGGGGCGACACTGTTAATGGCTCAGAGTTTGCGTCAAAACCCGGGCCCTTGCCCAGGGGCGGAGGTTGGGGGTGGTGTGAACATCGTTCCCTAGGATGCCCAGGTCCTTCTGGTGCCAAACCAGAGCCAGAGCCAAGAAAGTTCCTTTTGTTTGAGACGGGGGTCTCGCTATGTAGTGCACCCTGCCCTTGAACTCACTATGTAACCCAGATTAGCATCAAACTCATAGGGAGCCCCCTGTGTCAGCCTCCCGAATGCTAGGAGTATAGTCGTGTGCTCCATGCCTGGCTTTTAATTTTAGTATTTTTGTGGAGCTGAGGATCAAACCCAAGACCTCAAGAATGCAGACAGTGCTCCCCCTGACCAGCTGCACTCTGCCCAGGGCTCACACTGTAAGAAGCCACCTGATGAGCAGTCCTGGGGGCTTCTGGGTGGGGTGCAGAGAGGAGGCTTGGAAGATAGTGGCCCCCCTCCTGCTGTTCCAGGACAGAGTTTCCAGGACGTGGGGCTCAGAGAGGAGGCAGAGAAGCCTAAATCCCAGCACTTGGGAGGCCAAGGCAGGTGGATCCCTGTAAGTTTGAGGCCAGCCTGGGCTACATAGTGAGTTCAAGTCCAGTCTGGACTACATAGTGAAACCCTGTCTCAAAAAAAAACAAAGTAAAAAAAAAAAAGTGGAGCAATGGAGGAGCCCTGGGGTTTGCTGCCTCCTGCAGCCCATGGTGATCAGGACCCCGCCTCCCCCTTGGCCATGTGAAGACTGGGATCCTCCAGGCTCAGCCTCCCTCAGGCTCCACCTTTGAAGTTCCTGGGGTCTCTAGCTCCGCCTTGGGCTGACTCAGAGCCCACCTCCCTCTCTGTCCCTCTCACAGGCGGGTGGTGATTCTTGTGCCTGCCAGTGAGTCACCCTCCGTCATGCTGACTCCTAGAAGGCCTGGCCCCCTCGGGAGTCCCAGACAGTTCAGCCACAGCAGCTCTCACACCACCAGGTCCACGGGGACACTGTCCAAGCTCCCCCGGCAGTGCACACCTGGGATCCCAGCACTCAGGAGGCTGAGGCAGGAGGATCATTATGAGTTCGAGGCCATCCTGGGCTACATAGTGAGTTTAAGTTCAGCCTGAAATACACAGTGAGACTTTACCCAAAACAGAACATAACAAAATGAAAACCCCAAAACAAACAAACAAAAACTTTGCACCAGAGTGCTGGGATTACAGATGTGCAGGACCATACTCACTGGTTCTTTACCACTTAATAGTTCCATGTATATCTCCAAAAACTGAGGATATTCACTCATGTAACCCAAGTAACTAAAGGTATCAAAGTCAAGAAGGGTATAATTTTTTCTATTATCCCATCACATCCTTGGGAACGTGCCCTTCCTCTACTTGATCTGGTCTTTAATCATGTACTGTGCTCCATTGTTAGATCCCTTTCATTCTCCTTAATCAGTTTGCAGACTTTCACTGTTTGTCAGGATAATGACTTTTTTTGTCTTGTTTTTTGAGACAGGGTCTCCTTATGTAGTCCAGGCTGGCCTTGAGCTCAATATGTAGCCCAGGCTGGGCTCCAACTCCCAAGGATCCTCCTGCCTCAGCCTCCTGAGTGCTGGAATTATAGGTGTGTGCCATGACACCTGGCTAGTTTTCTTAATTTTACTCTTTTTTTTTAATTAGTACCTGTTTGCAGGACATAATATTTACATTTATCATGGGGAGTTGCTGCATGTACATAACACATCTTAATTCTTTTTTCATCTCCTACTTTTGGCTCTTCTAACAGGCATGTAGTATAACTCACTGTAGTATCTGGGGGAGGCAGTACTGAAGATTAAACCCAGGGAGCACTAAACTACATCCACAGCCCTTTTTTTTTTCTTTTTAAATTTTCAGGCAGAGTCTCACAAAGTTGCCCAGGCTGGCCTTAAACTTGTGATCCTCCTGCCTCAGTCCCCCAGGACCTGGAGTTACAGGTGTGGGTTATGATGTGCCCCTCTCATTTTCAAAAGAAATAGACTGGCAGAATGGATCAAGAAGCAGGATCCAACAATATGCTGCATAGAAGAAACACATTTAATTTAAAAAGAAATTCATGGACTGAAAGTCAGAAGATGGAAAACTATTCTCTATGTGACAGGAACCTGGAAAAAAAGCAAAGTTAGCTATTCTATTGGCAGACAGTGGATTTCAAGCCAAGACTGATTAAGAGAGACAAAGAAGGTCACTACATCCTTGAAATGGGAACAATCCAAGAGGAAGTGATAACAATCATAAATATATATGCACCAAATACTAGTGCACCCAACTATATAAAACAAATATTAATGGACATGAAAACCAAATAAACATGAATACAATTATAATAGGGGATGGGCGAGGAATTTAGCTCAGTGGTTTCGCCGCCTGCTGTGCAAGCGCAAGGACCTGAGTTTGATCCTTGGTACCAAAAACACCCAATTATAAGGGGGGACCTCAATACCACACTGTCACAAATAAATAGATCAAATAGATGAAAAATCAATGAGAAATATCAGAACTGAAGCAAACTTTTTTTTTTTGGTACCAGGAATCGAACTCGGGTCCTTGCGCTTGCGAGGCAGGCGATGGAACCACTGGGCTAAATCCCTAGCCCTTGAAGAAAACTTTTGAACAAATGGACTTAGTAGATATCTATAGTGTTCCACCCCAGAACATTAAAATACACATTTACAGCTGCACACGGAATGTTCTCCAAAACAGACCACATACTAGCTCATAGAACGTGCTTAAGTAAATGCAAAGGAATTGGAATTATCCCATGCATATTGTCAGGCCATAGTGCAATGAAATTGGAAATCAATGGAAAAGGAAACCACAAGAATTTCATAAACAGAGCTGGAGATTTAGCTCAGTGGTTCCTCTGCCTGCCTCGCAAGCACAAGGACCCGAGTTTGATCCCCAGTACCAAAAAAAAATGTTTCATAAACACATGGAAATTAAATAACATCCTCCTGAACAACCAATGAATCACAGATGTAATTAAAGAAATTAGATAGTTTCTACAATTAAACTATAACACCAATACAACATACCAGAACTTATGGGATGTAGTGAAAGCTGTCCTACCAGGGAAATTTATAGTGGTGAATTCCCATTTCAGATAAACAGAGCAAGCTCCAATAAACAACCTATTTTTCTTTGTTTTTGTTTTTTGAAGCA